AACATATATCTAAGAAGTCCATCTAGGAGACAGAGTAACTACGGCATAGGGCCAAGACCCATCCAGGGGCCAGGCCTGGAGATGGGTATACCTACACCATAGCCTGGAACTGGGCTGAAATGGAGCCTGTAAGCAGGGGTACAGGCTCAGGTTCCCCTTGAGGTAGGTTATGGTCATTGAAGGCTATTAATGCCCCATGGTGACAGAAAGCAAGAGACTTCTTGGAAGGAGCAGGGGGAACTGGCCATGAGAGGCCCTCTCCAAAAGCAGGGAGCGAGCAGGAAGAGATTAATTTTCAAAACCTTTATTTAAGTTTTACTCTGTTCTGAGGGCTTTTAAAAATTATTTAATAAATTAATTACTTTGGTACATAAGCTTGTAAAACCTATCCCAATATTTCACAAGCACGCTTAGTATTTTGGTGCAGTCGCTTTCAGAAAAGATGGAGGAAGACCCACTCCAATGTTTTGGTTAATTTGGCATCACAGGCTCAGTCATATCTTTGAGCAGTAGTTTTACCATCATGATAATCTCCAACTGGTGTAGACTGATTATAAAGCATATGTTGTTGACAGAGGTGTCCCATCAGCCTAGCTGAGCTAAGTGGCCTTGAAAGTGGTATTGAAATAATAGCAACAATATATTTACCTCGGATAGATAGGTTATTTGGGTAGTCTGTGTAAACAGTGCCAAGACCACAGACCCAAAGCGCAGATAATTTATTACTCTCAGGAATTTTTCCTGAGTGTGACAAAGCATAAGGCCATTTAAATAAAATTTCAATGTTACAGTGGCCCACAATGCCCGCCACAATGTAGCAAGAGCCCTGCAATGAAGGTGCATCTTTCATTCTCCCTCAATATGTATAGAAATGTTTGACTTTCCCTCACAAATATGATAGAAAGCAAGGATAATGTCTCTTTGTGAGAGATTTATAAATGTGGCCTTGAAGACTGCGTGGAGAGGGGTGTGTTCTGCCGAGGAGCTGGCAGTCTTTCTAATCTTTACCATATTTAACTATTCTCCTTCTTGTGTTGTGTCATCTTAATGTGATTTTCCCCATCATATTCTCTCCCCTAATAAGTCCTAGTTCATTATACCAGGATAAATATTCATCATTTAGAAAGCAATTTTAATACATTCTTGCCTGAATAAAGAAGGGCATGGCTATTGACTTCAGAGAAAAATTAAAGTATTTTTTGTGCTATGACCTTACAGATTTTACTTAGTTGTGCCATGAGGCTTTATTCTATGAGAAAAGGTAGGGTTTTACCGTTAGCAAAACATTTGTGATTAAAGTACTAAAAATGATTTTAGACTTAAAAGCCAACTGAAACTTGCATTTGCTTGGTCATAGAAATTTAATAAAATCTATTCAAATTAGCTCTTCTTAACAAGCCACGAAACATGCCAAATTTTATTTGGAAAGATGAATGAGAACACTTTCACTGATAAGGCCCTTTATGACTATTTGAGATGAGCTTCTGCTGATTGTGTTTGACTGCTAGGTGGGAGGAGGAAAAGTTTGTCACAGGGTGCCAAATCCTGAAGCGTGTATCATTTCCCCATGTGTTCTTGCACTGAACTGCTGCAGTGCTACAGCTGAATTAAAGAAGAGGGAAGCAGGCAACAAATAAATTATGTATGCACCTCTTAAATAATTAGTGAATATTTCTTACACCGTTCCTTGATAGTTGAGATGGGTCTCACGCTTCAGGAAAATAAAGACGTGTGTGAATTTCTGAGTTATTTCTGATGCCTTTTGTTTAGGAGCTTGTGGGATAAATCTACCAGCAGTAGAAGCAGGGGAGATAGGTGTTTCGAGCCCTGACATGGGGTAAAGCGAAGAGGAGGAGAAAGAGTCACTGACTCATCTCTACATGGGATCTTGTGCAAAACTCAAAAGGTTTTTTTTTTGGGGGGCGGTGGTTTGAATTTTTTTTTTTTTTTTAATCACTGACAGGTAACAGCTTGTGAAGTCAGCCTCAGAGTCAGGCCTTCTCAGTGGTAGGACCCCCAGTGACTGTTATAAAGGTTTTAAGCTGAAGTATGAATAGGACTCCTCTTTCTTGTGGTGGTGATCTCCCTGTTAAATCATACAGGCTTTTGAACTATTCCGATAGCTGGTGCTGGAGAAGAAAAATGAAAATGTTTCTTTTTTTCCTACAAATACACCTACTAGACCATGCTTTGACAGCCTGCAGCTTTCAAACCATTCAAGCCTGGAGGTATGAACAACTTCCTTAAAGGAATGGTATCTGTGAAAAATTTGTGTGCCTTCAAATTTGGGTTTATTGGACCATATATTTGCTATATGATTAGATACAGGGATGAAAGTGCAAATTTTCCATCCAGGTTCTCAAACCCTTACCAGGATGGCTTACTGTAACTTTGCTCTGTAGTGAAAAATTAACTCCAGTGAATTATCAGTACTGTGTGTCTGGTTGGTCGGGTGCAAAATCATGATGGTGTGGATGCAGTGTGCCATCAACTTAACTTCTGCTGAGGCTGTTACATCACAGGACTCTTAGAAATCATATGTCATTAAGTGCTTAAAGATATCAAAGAATCAACACTACAGCACTTGCCCTCATATAGGTGGTCAGTGTGGTCTCCAAGTCATCCCTGTTATCCATCTGCCCCAAACCTGCATTATTTGAGCACATACTTGCCTGTGCCCCTACTGCGTATTTTCTTTGCTTGTGGTCTTCTTAATGTTTGTTTATAATATTGAGTGAAAAATATAATTACAATGAAATGGCATTTTTGCAATGAACTACTGTTTTCTCCAAATTTTAAGATATTTTTGCCTAATTGAAACTCCCAAGTGAAAAGCAATTATATTTGAATTTTCTATTCTTTTTTCCTCTAAGTAGCAAATGAAAAGCAATTGCATGAACAAATTTGAAAAAAAAAGAGAAACTAGGAAAAATCTGAATAAAGCAAAACATACATTTTCACAAATAAAATAAATAAATGCTTTAAAATGATTTCTTTTTATTATTTAAAAACTTCAGTGAAAGTTATTTTACAGTTTTCTAGCCTATTTGCAAAATGTTGTGTGTGCTCTTCTATAAGTCCTGTATCGTTTAATGCAAGTGTACTACACATAGTCACAAGGGACGTTTAAAGAATTTGGTACTACTTTTCTCTTCAAAGAATAAGATACAAACACCTGGTAACACCCATATTCTAGTGTCTGGTCCTTACATGATCAGGGTGAATATCTGATGATGATGGAAATCTGATAGTTTTACCAGATTTCAGATCTCTGAAATTACATTCCTGATTCAAACCCTCTGAATCTATAAAAATGATTTAAACTCTTGCCTTGCCTGTAGGACTTCGGGGCTCTTCTTGTCACTACAGTCAATTTAAGGGTGAATCCCAGTGCTGACTGTGCAAATTTTATGTGTTTCAGAGAAAAATGTAAGAAATTCTGTAGTGATCGCTTAATAATTGGCCTGTCCTAAAAAAAAAAAAAAAAAAAAAAAAAAAAAAAAAGAAAAGGATTTTTGAGTTATACCTGTGAAAACTTTCTGCATGGCAATTTTGAAAACCGAACACCTCAAAACAATCTAAACTATAATTGGAGGTTCATTAGAAACTATCTTCTTTTGTAGTGGTTTTCTGCTCATGATGCACTGAATTTTTAAAATAATTGCTCCTCTATGAAGAATTAAATCCTATTCCAATTACTCAGTTACTGTACTTCTGAAGAAAAAAACCTAAAACTCAACATAAGTGTTGTGAAATTCAAAAGTGATGAAAACCTATGACAGCTTATGAGACATGTCCGATAAAAATTTGCAGAAATAACTGTAGTTGTCAGAAACCCATTTGTGATAAATACCCATCAGCTAAAAGCATCAGAGACATATTTTGGTGAGTTTCTTTAAGGTCTCCATAGCTTTAACCCAAGAAACCTGGCGGGGCTGGTAGACTCAGTCTGGTCTGCACTTTCTTGGTTCTTGTGCTGGACGGCAGCCAGTGCATTAGCGCTGGACTCGTTCCTGCCTGTGCCTGGAATTGCTCCCTGGGAGACAGCACAGCCCCCACCAGGCAGCCTTGTGGAGAGGCAGAGTACTTGAGTAAACTCAGGCCATCTGTTGGTTGCATAAATTAGTTTTCCCCTTTTGCCCATCTAGCCATAAGGTATCCACTTTTTTTTTTTTTCTTTTCTTCCCAAATAATGACTTTATTCTTTATCCAATTCTAGTAGGACAGAGGTAGGCAAATGGATTTCTTGCTGCTTTTTCCTTCTTTACTTCTTGTTGCTTGCATTTCATTGTAGTGGCTTTGTTTAATAAATCAAATTATCTCCTTTATATACACATTCTGCTTTGGAAACAGTTAATGGCTCCTCACCAAAGATAACCTTTGTTCATGGGCAGGAACACAATTAAAGATCCTTTCCCCCCTTTCCCTCTCTTTTTTCCCCTTCCTTTTCCCCCATTTCAAACTTATTTTCTTTTCCAGTTTTTCTTCTTTTCTTATTTATTTTTTCTTTCTCTTCTTTTCTGATGAATACTAGCATTATAATATGAATAAATAGATAAGGGACTAAATTGATTACATTAGCATAATGCAAGTGATTTTCTTCAAATGGTATGTTTGTTGCTCAGCATTCAAGGAAGAATTAAATTCAGCAATAATTATTTTATTTCAACTTCAGTCATTTGAAAGGATCTCAATTTTACTTTTCTCTCAGCACCTTATGGATATCAGATTCCTTGAGCATTTAACAGCATTTAACAGTCCGTCACTAGAAACAGTCCGTTTGGAAGATTTATTAAATGATTTTTAGTGGCAGCTTCTTCGTCTCAGCCAAAAAAGTGAAGTATTTAATTCATAAAGCACATTTGGATTTTCCCCGCAATAGTCTTTCAGAAGCTCTCCAGTAAGAACAGAGGGCACCTTGTTGCCTGTTGTGTCAAGTCACTTTGCTTATTTTGAATGTCTGTTGCCATTTTGATTTATTTCCATTTTTCTTCCTGCAGATTTATTTGAAAAACAGAGATTTGTATACTGTAGAAGCCAACAACCCTCGTCAGCTAGTGGAAATTGCAGCCAGAGACATAGAAAAACTTTTGAGTAACAGGTCTAAAGCCTTGGTGGTGAGTACTAATGGCTTAGGTTTTTTATTTGTTGTTTTTAAAAAAAAAATATTTGTTGTTGAAACAGGCTTTTATTGTTATTTTTGTTGCTTATGCAGTTACATCCAGTGATGTGTACAGGACATGACATGTAGATAGATGGCTTATGACTTCATGGTAGAAAATGAACTCATTAGTTCGTTGGCAGAGGGCAGATGCTTATAATATTGACAGACAGATTAGGAACCATGGCCAAGGAACACATAAAGTTATAAATAGATTGGAAAATGTTACTCTAAGTGACTCACATGAATGTTTATGACTTGAAGACCATTGTACTCTACAGTCAGTAGTGATATTGGGGAAACAAGAAGTAGAGATTTTTTAAAGTGTTATTTAAAAATAACGGTATCTTTAAAGTCATGATGTTCATTTCGTTATTACTGCTAACTACATCTGTTGATATTTGGTCTCCATCTTCTCAGCTACTCAGTCTTTCTTGGTGGTAGCAACTAATTCTTCTCCTTCAACAAATGTAGTCATGTGTGAATCAGATTAATTTCCATATCTATTCTATTTCTGACTTGCTAATTTAATCTGCATTTCAATCATGTTTTGTAACAGCAGAGTTAATCCTGAACTGTTAGTGTGAAGACCATGCTGCATTGCAACCTCACATTCTTTCTGCTTTCTATAAGAAGTAGCTATCTCTTTAAAGTGCTTTTGCCAGCAGTCCCTTTCTCTTCTATCATGTAAGATGCCAAACCTGGGTAATTGCTTCTTATGATTCCTACTCGGATCCCTCTGACTCATATAAAAATTTAGAGGGCTTTTCAGAAGATACTGACCAAACATGCACAGAAGGATCCAGATGAATTTATATACGTGCTTTTTACAGAGTAGAGCTATTAGAAATAAGCTTAATGGATGGAACAGCAGACTGCGATTCCCTGAGCAGTTACATATCCACATAGACCTGCAGATGAGTTTGAACATGTAATTTAAAGCGAAAGAGAGAAGAAAGAGAGATTAATTCACCTAACTGTAGACATCTCAGCTGGTTGTCCTAAGCTCCCTTTTTGTTCAGTGGAACAAAACAGGCACTTCTGAGTAAGGATTGACCTGATATGTTCTGAATAAGACTTTAAAATGAGATGAACTACAGCCCAGAACTACTGACTTCTCTCTTTATCTGTCAGAGAGACCTCAATGTAAATGTCTATAGTGTAGGTGTGTAAAGTTGGAGGAGATGAGTCCCACCCAAGCAGTCCTTTTATCAGTACCGTTTCACGCAGCTCAAGAATAGGTCTGAAAGTGAAACTGCTGCTGCACGCTATCCTGAGGACTAGCCTTCTTGTAGGCAATGAGGTTTTGCTTAGTCAGTTGTCCATGCATAGGTACCACAGGAGGTAAACGTATTCCTGTCTTTTATTCTTAGCAGGAGTTCACTTTTCCAGTTCCTGTAGCTGCCCCAAAATGCAATATATATCACTGTTATGTGGGCCAAAGCTTCTCTGCTTCAGTCAAATGAGCATTAAATAGATATGGGTTTTTTGCTTGTTTTCCTGTTTTTACTCAGTGGGCAGATGTTTATGTAGCACTCTGTGGACTCTGTATAATTATTGCAAAATACTATAAGTCATTTGCAGACCTTTGTGAACACACCAGTTTTTCCACTATTTTCCCGTCAACCCATATAGGTCTGATGTTTTTAAGTTACAGCCGAATCTTATATTTTCTTGAGACTTGAGGTTAATGTAGGGGTTTGTGTGTGTCTGTGGTGGCTTGATCTTAAAATTTTAAGAAAATGAAATAAGTATGTCATGCTTTCAACTTTAGAGAAAATTCCAGAACTGTTTTTCTGTGAATGTGGACGAAGAGGGTGCCTACCTCATTTTAGGCAAGCCCACGGTCACTTTTTGAAAAAGATAATATGATTCAGTTCCTTGATGTAAAAGAATAAAAGAAGCCTAAATTAGGGAAAGCATGATCCTTCAGTCCAGTTTCTCTCTCTTTTTTTTTTTTTTTTTTTTTGTTTAAAAAAGACGTTTTGTAGTCTTCAGAACTTCTCAGATAGTTTTAAACTATCAGGTCAATGCATCCTGAAGGCAAATAAAAAGTTTTTCAGATGTATTAGTGACTTCTGACTTTAAAACCAATTTTATTGTATGATGTTTTCAATGTTTGAGGTTGCCATTACTGTCAGTGTTGCGGTGAATGTACAATACTTAATATTTTTAGCTGCTTGCCATCATTTCAAGATGCATATCAGCAAGACTTCTGCATGACATCTTTATCAGTCGTGCTAGTTCATTGCAGAGTGAAATTCATCCCCAAAGATGTGGAAATAACTCCCCCAACATACTTCACACAACTGAATTTGATTTGCCATCCTTTAAATACTTCTCAGTGATGCTTCTCTTTAATGTTGGAACATCTCTAAATATTTTTTTTAATTATTTTTTTTAAATTTCTTTTTTTTGTATTGCCTGGAAATGACCAGAATTTACAAATGTTAATTACATGATTGCAACACATATATAAGATCCTTTTTGCAGCAAAGTGATTTAAATGATCTATTGAAACGTTCCTCTACTCCAGCTCAAGAAGGACAGAGCTGACTTACAGAGGTTGTCGGGTTTCAGATGTTTGTCTTGCTGAAACCTGCAGTGAACTTTGTGTATTTTTAATGTCCTAATTATATATATTTATTCCTAATTTTATATGTGTGTATATATATATTTGGTAAACTAGTGTGCTTTTTTTTAGCCAAGTGATATTTAATTTCTCTCTATGTATCTTAGTTCATTTTTTTGCTTTCTTTTTTAAAAAATATTTTTAATATTTACATGCATTTTAAAAATAATAATTTATCAAAGCTGTTTTCTTCGGAACAGCTTTCCAGGGATGGTTGATCATAAATGGTTCCTGAGAAAACTTGCTTTTCCTTTTGTATCAAATGCCAGACACAGCCAAAACCAATGCATCCAAAAATGAGTATAACCTATCAAATTAGTAAAAATGACTGAATGATTATTAACATTTTAAATATTATTTTCCTTGTTTGATTTATCTTCTGATTCTTTCTTATTCCAACATTTTTCTCAACGATTATCAAGATTAGCTGTTCTGAGGACTTCTGTTGTTGTTTCTATAAAAAAATGTATTTCTGATGTATATTCATGTACCCAGGGGCTTAGTCTGACTGAAAAAAAGAAAAGAGGAAAGGGCCTAAAAAACAGTACTTAAGGGGAAAAATACCCTTTTATTAATCTCGGTCCATGCCAGATCTCTTTGCTGACTCATATTCTACACGCTTATTAGTTTTGGATCACTTCATGTTGCTTTCTCTTGTGCTATCACCTGAACTTAAGAGCTCCTAACAGCTTAGGTATTTATACTGGCTTTTCTATTTCTAGTTATCCTGGATTTATATCAGAGCTCTCAATGACTTCTGATTTTAAACCTTCCTCTAGATTATTTTTGTACACAGGGGACACTCACTTCTTATCTCCTGTATCTGAACTATTACTTTCTACTAAGAGAGTTTCTTCACCTTCCATATGTATTTCTCTGTCTTCTTTTTTTCTCACATTTTGTAAACTTTATGTAATGAATCTGAATTATTTGTCTGAAATTTAAGTCTTATTAAACCTACCGGGTCACATTTTCTCTGAAATCAAGAGTGGAATTGAATGGAACTGTTCCTAATGACTGCACAGAGGGGTTTACTGTTGGGGCTAATATGACTCAAAGTGTTAATTAAGACCTGAATCCTGAAAAGAGTATGATGCAAGAGGATCACACATCCTCCAGGGATGCCATGAGGAAGGTGCCAGTTAATGACATTAACATTGTCATTGTGCAGAGACTAGCATAACCCAGGGATGCCATAATTTTCTCTAGGCATGCTACACAATCTTTGGGCAAGGTTATAATAAGCAAATATTAGTGATGACTTTTCTAATAATAAATTGGCTTCCCCTGAGCTGCAAGATCACCTTTAAATGAAAAACAACTCTTGCATTGTAAACTATTTTTGTTTTAATGCAACTTTGTTCTAGAAAGCTCTCTAGCTATGACTTAAAGGTAAAATTACTTAGTGGTTCTGTGAGTTACACACAAAAGGCTCGAGTAACATGGGAAAGGTTTATATGAGGAAAGACTATGATGAAAATCTGGACAAAGATGTCTTGTCCCACTGTAAGGACATGAATTTATTATGTATATGAATTTATTCTTGGGAGAAACTTAAAAATGATGGTGGAAGTAGGTACCTAGATGGGGTAGAAGAAAGGGGAAAGTCCTGATCTGAACTCAGAGGGCTTTCCTAAGTAGCTATTACTGGAAAATGTTAGCCATAGAAGAAAAAGTTATGATGAAAAGAAAGTGGAGAATTTTCTAGGAATGTGTAGTGGAGGAAGAGAGTGGTATGAGTAGCAAGGAGGGAGACAGGCAACAGCCTTATAGTCAAGGATGTCAAAGATTGTCTCACAGTAGAGCCTGTTGTTCAAATATTGAACATTTCTTTTTTGGTTTACTGTTGTTTACTATCGCATATTTGCCTGGCCAAACCATACTGAAAGCACACTATTTCCATATTATGGAATTTCCATATGCATATCATAGAATCATAGAATCATAGAATCATAGAATCACAGAATGGTTTGTGTTGGAAGTGACCTTAAATATATGGTATACGTATGGTCCTGCAAGGAGCAGTGAGTTGGATGCGATGATCCTTATGGGCCCCTTCCAACCTGAGATATTCTATGATTCTATGATTCTGTGGTATTATGGGCAAGTTAATATTCTGTCTCTATGTATCCTGATGAAAGGTGGTATACAGACTAGCTGTGCTACCATTGCAACCTGCATTTACAGGTGAGTAATGGAAGATGGGTGGAGGTTTCATGGAAAAAGTATCCTGCAGTAAATATGGGCAAAACTCACAAAGGTTCTTGGATGTTTTTCAGGTACACAACCTTTCCAAGGATACCAACAGATAGTATGCCTAGCCC